TTTTTTGCCAAATTATAAAAATACAATATAAAATCTTGAAACGGTCATATTTTAAAAAATTTAAGTTGTTTAAAGTGTTGTGAGTAACCCTGTATTTTACTATTCGTATAATTAGATAACCTTTAACGAAAGATTAGTAGAATACTTTCAATGACGCCAAGTCAGCAATCTGACAGGGTTCATGTCAGCTAGAGGTGTGTAAAGTATACCGGACATATTTTATAGTAATTCGTGAAACTGCACACCCCTTCAAACATTTGGATTTATAGACACTTTGTGGGTATAAAATCCAATATCTATGAAAAAATATTGATATTGGAGGTGAAATTTTAGATAAAGATCCGAGTCAATATTTTATGTGATTTTAAACCGTTGTTTAGTCAATCACACAAATCAGACTGAACAGTTCAAATTTGTATGACAGTGATTGAAATGTTTTTAAGATTAAAACTCATTCGAACCCATTTTCCTCAAAAGATTTATAATTTTATAATGTTTTTTTTTTTACATTAAAAAACGTTAAATATTTTAGTGTATACATTGTACTGTTCAATACACTGTCTTTGATGAAATTTGATTGAATGATCATTCACTATGAACTACAAAGAAGGTGAAGGTCAAATTAATACTACAATACTGCACTTTGTTACCGCAAAGGTCCTCAATTAATGTTTTATTACACATTAGATATTCAAAACAATTAAAAAGTGTTATGATTGAAAAGTTACAAGAGTTTATACGTGTGCAATCAATTTTAGTTTGAAATAATATTTTGACTGATATATTGTCAAGAGCACATTAAGGTTTCCGTGGCGCGTTCATGGTAAATAATTGTATAATGTTCATTGTCAAATCAAAACAAATCATTCTTTTAGGGACGTCCTACGCCCACACCCCAAAATTGAAGTGACTATACTAAATCAATAATGAAGTGAGGTCTCACGATTTGTATTTTTGCTAATTTCCACTTTGTTGTTCAATAAAGTCTACAAAAACACTTTTAATCGACATTATTTATACCGTTAACAGTAACGAAAAACGCGCTAAATCAACCAGAATAAAACACAAAATAATTTTCATTGGATTGATTTATGTTTAATGTAAACCTCAAGAGAAGATAAATCCAACCTAATGCAAAACATGTGTAACGTGAATATGTAAATATGCAATATTTAAGATTTACCGTCTGTTTTAAAAGATGAATTTGAAAACTTTGTTCGAGGTTCATTAATTAGTGGGACTATTATAATATAATTATCTTCTATTTGTGTTTTATTTTATTTTGAGTACAGAGTTCCATTTTCAATTATTCTATTCTAACAATGTTCAGACAAAGTTGTAAGATTCAGCACGGGGACCCTTTAATTAGACTCTTAAGGCGACTGTAAACATCACTTCAAATAACCTCCATTTATTATGGCATGTCTGATTTACATCGGTACGTTTAAAACCTTTTCTGATCAAGTATGAATATGTTTATATAGTTTTAAAATACCAGATTGTTTTCAATTGTGGGTTTTCTGCAAAAGTGACTAGCGCATTTCTGCTGTAGGAAACCAATGTGGGAATTATCAGAATTAAACAAGTTTGTTGCTAGAAAGACGACGTTATTTTCCAAATAATTGATCAGATCAATATGTTACAAGAGTACCATTGTAAATCGGGTATTCTCCTCCTTGTATAAAGAGATATTTGAAATTATGCGAATAGTCCTTTTAATTAAATGGAACTTCCTAAAGTTGTGTTCGACATGTCTAAATATCGGATAGAATAAGTACAAAAATGATATTATTGTATCTTGCATGATTGGTATGTGCGTGGTAAAAGACAATCCTCAAGTCAGCCACAACAATCATTGCTTACTTTTCCTAGTCCCCTGAGGTCGCACATTTTTTGTGAAGTATCAATAATTTTGAATGCTTAATCTCGATATCCACTTTTAAATTAGAGGATGAATCCATCCCTTAATTAAAGTTATCCCTTCAGGGTATGGCCCCTACGGAATATATATATCCCTGCAGGGTATGGCCTCTACGGGATATCCCTGCAGGGTATGGCCCTTACGGGATATATATATCCCTGCAAGGTATGGCCCCTACGGAATATATATATCCCTGCAGGGTATGGCCCCTACAGGATATTCCTGCAGGGTATGGCTCCTACGGGATATCCCTGCAGGATATGACCCCTACGGGATATATATATCCCTGCAGGGTATGGCCCCTACAGGATATCCCTGCAGGGTATGGCCCCTACGGAATATATATCCCTGCAGAGTTTGGCCCCTACGGGATATATATCCCTGCAGGGTATGGCCCCTATGGGATATCCCTGCAGGCTATGTCCCCTAAGGGATATCCTTGCAGGGTATGTCCCCTACGGGATATCCCTGGAGGGTATGGCCCCTACATGATATCCCTGCAGGGTATGGCCCCTACAGGATATCCCTGCAGGGTATGGCCCCTACAGGATATCTCTGCAGGGAATGGCCCCTACGGTATATCCCTGCAGGGTATGACCCCTACGGAATATCCCTGCAGGGTATGGCCCCTACGGAATATATATCCCTGCAGGGTATGGCCCCTACGGCATATATTTCCCTGCAGGGTATGGCCCCTACGGGATATCCCTGCAAGGTATGGCCCCTAAGGGATAGTCCTGCAGGGTATGGCCCTTACGGGATAACCCTTTAGGGTATGACTCTTACAGGATATCCCTGCAGGGTATGGCCCCTATGGGATATGCCTGCAGGGTATGGCCTTAACGGGATATACCTGCAGGGTATGGCCTTTACGGGATATACCTGCAGGGTATGGCCCCTACAGAATATCCCTGCAGGGTATGGCCCCTATAGGATATCTAAATCCGTTCGCAATCATTAGATGGAGATTAATGCTTAAAATCCCACGATTCCCAACGCAAAACTTCTGGATTGTGGTTTAAAGGGTATTACTCCGAATCTTCAATAACCTCTTTTATGCTATAAATAAACGTATGTTGGTCCTTTAAGTACGTTTGACACTATTAACTGTGCCCTATACACCCATAAAGTTGAACTCTAATCCATTTATCCTATTTCAGCCCACACACTTAAACCCGATATATATTGTGTATATATCTAAATTATATATTATATATATATAAAACCTATATAAATATTATCTTTTCCTTGTCTTTATATCTTAGGGATAAAGTACAGAGTTTATAGACAATCTCTTAGACTAATTCTCTACTCCTTTAATACACCCTCTCTTGTATCCTATATTTTGTATTCTGTATTTTTGTAACTTAGGTATCCTGAATCATGTATCTTGTATCTAGTATCGTGTATTCAGTATTATGTATCTTGAATCCTGCTTTCTGTATCCTGTATACTGTATCCTGTATTTAAGATCCATGTACAAAATTAATAGAAGGGGGGGCCCGGGGGGTCTAAAAATCGTTCTCTAGGAAATTACCAATAAATCAGATTTTATAAAACTATCAATTAAGAAAATTTACCATAAAGACTAGTTGCTAACTAGTATAAATACCTCTCTTGACGAGTTTTAAAATCGGCGACACTCCAAGCACCGATCTTCTCCAATGATTGACATTTAACTGCGATTATTAACTGTGATCATTTTCTCACTGGAAACTGCATTCTCCATATTTAGTAATTTCCCAAGCTTTTTATCTGAAATTAAAACATGTTTAAGACGGAGATCATTCATTAAGTTTAAATTGCAATTTTTAAAAAACTATTTGCATTTAACAGTGAATATGCGTATAAATATCATCTTGATAAGGCCTACGCATCTTTAGCGAACGATATCTGGCACTGACTGAACTGATTCAAAACTCAGAGTGTCAGGAATATTCTATGTTTGGGAGCGTTCTCTGCTTGATAGAAGAGACGGGCAAAATTATTTGGTTTGGATTTATAAAGAGTACTCTCTCCATAGAGTAAACATAATAATAATAATAAAAATATTAACAATATTTACTTTCAAAACCTTATTGAATTTTCAGTCAAACCCATATGTCAGATTTATAATGTGCTTAAACCCAACGAATAGAAAAGTTTTTTATATGCTGATTCTAAATACAGTTTTCATATAATGCTGTTGACCATAAACCTATTGACCATAAACATACATCAAACCCTTAAATCCTTAATCACTCCATTTTACTCAGTCACGGAAAACTAGTAAGTTACAGTATTAAATATTCGACTACATTAGTGCATAATTTTGATAACATTATCATTTCTTTAATTATATCTGCATTCTATTGCAGGTTTGAAATACATCTATTTACTAAATATTTGCGACTACTGTGTCCGAGTTAAGGAGCCTAATCAACAAATCAACAAGTCTGGCAATCAATTAATCAATTAGCAAATTAATCCACCAGACTAATAGTCTATCAATCACCATCACAAGAACTTTTCTTTAACGTTGGTTTTCTTCAGTAGAATATTATATTTTCTATCTATTTACAGCAAGTTGATTTATTTACCTATTTTCCAGAAAGTGTATTTTTTTCAGTAACTAGAAATGTGATGGACTTAAGTATTAATACACAGGGAAAATACTTTATGAATTGCGCAGTAAAATTTTATTTTTTCTAATAGAAATAGTTAGAAATATTTTTATTTTATATTTATCTATTTATTTTTTTGAAAATCCATTAGTTTTCTGTTCATAACAAAGCAGGGCACATAAAAAAACATGTTGATATATAGAATTAAACATTCTTCAATCTTCTTTAAGGAAATAACTAAGATGAAGTAAAGGTAGTCTTTTTTTATTAAAAAAAAGTTTAAATGTTTTTCAAAATGTCGTATTTGTGGTGTAAAATATAAAGCTTGACGTCGTTCTAACGTCTAGACATGTACATTGTACATTGTACACTATACAGTATTTTTTAAGGTCGGTCCAGTGCAGGTCTTTTATAGTTTCCATTTGCCGCTTGGTCCAGGGAGGGAGGGGAGGGGGGGTATTTGTAGATTTTCTAAATTAAACATTTTCCTTTGAGGTGTCCTCAGTCTTTCCGTTTACCAGGGTTTCCGTCTCCTCGTCTAAAATTAACTAGATTAAAAACTAAAACAGGGTTTCCACCTCCTCGTCTAAAATTAACTAAATTAAACACTGAAACAGGGTTTACACATCCTCGTCTAAAATTAACTAAATTAAAAACTAAAACAGGGTTTCCAACTGAATTTATTAGAGAACTTAATAATTTCCGACTTTTCTTTCAAGGATATATTCCAGAGACATATACTTTCAAGGATATATTTTAGAGATATATACTTTCAAGGATATATTCCAGAGATATATACTTTCAAGGATATATTCCAGAGATATATACTTTCAAGGATATATTCCAGAGATATATACTTTCAAGGATATAAATATACAACAAATCATACAAGGGATCATGAAATTTCCAGGGATCTATACTTTCAAGAATACTTTTTGATGCGCTTGGGAAAATTTGAAAAATTGAACATCAAACAGCAATTTTTTCCACGTGTTTTTAAACTTATCCCCTAAAAATTATTCATTTTCCACAATTATATAAAGCGCAAACGTCTGATGAATATACTATTTTTAAGGGAGGGGATATGATATTTTAGGAAAATAAATACTCTGTTTTCTGAATAATCACAAAATAGTAATCTTTAAAGCTTTTTCTCATTACTTTTTGGCAATTTTTAGTTAATTTTGTTGGGGGATAATATTAAATTATGTTTACAGTTCAGAATTGAGGGTGCCTCCCTACTTTATCAATCCTTTAAATAAACCATCCTTAGCCGCATACAACTCCCCCCCTAGCACTTGGTTGAGAGGGCCCCTGGCCCTCCCTATCCCCGGCCTTTATCATTTCTCCCCCAACTCTAAACGAACACTTAAACTTCCTTCAAGTTTTTATTGCGATGTAAACATTTGAAAAGGATAGTTTTCCAAACCATTATATTTTATTGCCAACACGTAAAAGCTGAATATAGTTTACCCATAGACCACATTTATCAATATATTCCATATTCCATCTGCATTCAGTTTTATTGATAAACCAGAGATCCTAACTTTTGTAAGGGATAGATCTTATCACCAAAATTTTTAAGGCGACTGTACGAAACTTATTTACATATATGGTTCTATGAGGGGAGGAAGGCCAGCCACAACAATTTCTGGTCCGAGCCACATTCTAATCGTTATCTCGTCCGAACCACCGGCCTCTAAATCCTCGTCCTTCCAAAATTATTTTTTTCAGTGTCTAATTTTCCAAGCTAAAACAATTTTTTTTAAGAATCGGGCAACGTTAGTGCATAAATAAAATATTGAATTTTTGTAGATCGAAAAAAATGCAGCAAACTGAGTTCATAGAACTTAAATTTTTTTGTTGGTTATAGTGAAAACCATATAACTTTTCCGAGTGGTTCTATTTATTTTTTATCACGAAGGTTAGCCATTACAGAGGCAGAAGAGATTTGAGTTTTACCTAAGTAAAGTTTGACATCATTCTCATGGCTTTAAAGATTCCAACAATATAATCATTGCAATACTTCGTTCCCATATTTTATGCCCTTACGTGGCCAGATTTTAAAAAAAAGAAGTTTTATCTTCAAGAATTAGAAACTTGTCAACACATAACAACCGACGGACGAGGATTTCGATGTGCCTCGAACTAGAAAAAGAGGGAAAAGTGGCTCGGACGAGAAATTGTTGTTGCTGGCCCTCCTCCCCTCGTTCTATACAGTTGAAAATTATATATAGTTATATATTATATAGTGAACCATTGATATGAAATATCTTACTCCTCAGATCGTCAGATTGGAAGACTTTTGTGTCGTCATTTAAGTCTCATCCTTTGAGGGTATATTTGATAAAAGACGACGTTCGAAACTAAATATTTTTGTGTTTTGATTTATTGAAAAATATATTTGAAAAACCACAAAAGCAGGATTGTTCAATTTCCAGTTCAATTTTCTGTTAATGTTATTTTTTACGTCTTGATTCTAGTCAACTTCAAATATTATCAACGTAAATGGGATAAAAAAAAATTTTTTTTTTATTTAAATATGAAAATCTTTTACTTCAAAAACTCTCTTCAAGATTTTCATAAAATTTTCTGTTTATCTTTTTCAACTTTAAATTAATAAACACCTCGCAACCTAAATATTATTTGTGTGATGGAATCCTAAAATATTCTCCTTAAACAAAGTTTTCTTTTCTTCTCAAAACTTGAGATTTTCAAGTTTCTCTCTTATTGTATTTGTTCTCGGGGGTCCTTATAATATCTAAAAGTATTCACTACATTCCCTAAAACTGAAGACAGGGTATTGACATGAAACCCAGTATTTGAAACCAGGTTTCATCAATGAATTTGATAACTTTAATTATTATAATATTTCTTCAATGAAAAATATGGTTGTGAACTTTACAATATTTTGCTAAACTTTACTCTAGACGGTTTGGAAATCCCGAAAATGTAAAAATTGGATTGAGAACTCGAAAGGTCGGATTCTAAAATCTCCCAAAAAAGATGAACAAGAATTTGGTGGATTTTTGTACGGGGATCCAGTACCTGAAGGTTTAGGCTTGATGAGGTATTTGTTGGCAATCTTGTTGGCCTCTGTCGCCCTGTTCTCGTCGAGCTCCGTCTCGTAGTTATCCACCACGTCGAGGAAATCATTGTAGTGCCTGTACACCTTCTTCCCAGCCTAGGAATATTTTTCTATGTTCAGAATGAAAAACATTTTCCCTTAAATTAAAATCAAAAAATAAATATTTTTTATAATTGCAACACAATTTAAAAAAATATGTAAATTTTTTAACAAAATAAACATTTCTTTATTACACTGTATACATTATTCTATTACTATTTAAATAAAAGTTTTCATTTTTCGTTATGCACTTAATAAAAAAAAATTAAAATATGATTAACATCTCCTATTCCAAATTAAATGAGCCTCTAAAAAATTAAATGAGGACCTGTTTTGTATAATCTCAAATCCTTAAAACATTATCAAACTCTCTACTTTAAATATCAAATTCAAATTTGAATGTGTAATCGATTTTTAAATGGGATTTTAAATTCTATGATGCTAAGATTATTTCAATATATTTCAAGCGCAAAATTAGAAAAATAGCTTTATTTCAAGTGTTTGTTTTCTTTTTTTTCTATTTTGAATCTATGCTTTGAATGAAAAAAACATTCTCCTTCATTTAAAAGTTAAAATTTATAAACAATTTCTTCTCCAATTCTAAAAAATTATCTTTCTTTTTTAAATCCTTTTTACAAAATAATCATTATTTCTTTTCCACTATATAGGTCGCAATACTGTAGTCTATGAATAACAAATTATTTACGTTTTGTGACTTTGTTGTTTGTTTTAAGGAAACATTTGTTTACAAACAAATTTGAAAATCAACCTGATCAGAAAATAAGCCCATGTATATTATTTACAACTACACAGTTGCATTCCCCCCCCCGCTTTTAAGGAAACATTTGTTTGTGTACAAATTTGAAAATCTGCGTGATCAGAAACAGTTGAACAGTTGACCCGCCCCCGCTTTTTTAAAGAGACTGTACGCGTAATTCCAAGTGGCACTCCATGCGGAGTTGGCAATGCTTGTTTCACAACGGTTTAAATGCGTAAGTCACTTTTATAATAAAAAACACAATTGAACATAATTAGTTTTCGAACTTATAAACATTGATATCTAGTTCATATTTAATTAGCCAAGGCTTTGAAGGGTACCGTTGAATGGAGAAGTCACTTGAAATATCGTATTCAGTACCTTTAAATACTTTATTTTTAGGATGACTTAATTGACCTGACAAAACTGCCTAAAGAGAGCAGCTCCTATCGGCTGCTCTCCTATGATATAATCGTAGTTGTCCGCCTTCAAGGTGGTGGACAGGCTGATGCACTCCGAGATGTGGGGGAACGTTAACAATTTTTTCCATTTTTTACTAAAACAAATAAAATTAACATTAAACTATAAGAATTTCACTCTTCAAAATATATATCAAACACCTCTGTCAACTGACAAGAATTAAATATTTAAAATTCGGTGATGGTGATGGACCAAACCTCTGTAGAGTAAAAAAGTAGATGTTAGTTCCACATTTATTGAAAATATATTTCGGTCTGGGTTGACTTAAATAAATATGTACCTTCTGCCTTTGCTGCCTTCAGGTCCACCCTCACGGGCCTGTACACCACAAATATTAATAGCTTTAAAGGGACTGTAAACGTAATTTCAAGTTTTCTTCCATTTTAAGAGGGGTGTGGCCGATTAAAAACGGTACCATTTCAACCTTTATATGATTAATGATTTTAGTGCCCCGAAATAACTTATATGGAGAAAACAAAATTTAAAATAATCAATTTTCTCGGTTTAAAACATGGATAGTTCAGTCTTCTTGATCGTATTACGCTTTAAATGCCAAAGTTGTTAGATCACGTAAGTTTACGTCTACAGTCCCTTTAATGATAATGAAATGAGAACTAATATCTTTATATTATCTTCCTCAAAAGCAGTGCTTAGGGTTCGGATTCGTTGGATCCGGAAGATTTTGGCTTCCTGGATGCGGATTCGCGAAAATATGCGGATCCACGGAGCCGGATCCAAGGGGCAAATAATCAACAATAAATGCAACAAAAAAATCAACTCTCAAACCCCAAATCTGTACTAATGAAAAAAGGGAGATTATAAAAATTTTATGGTTTCTGAATGGTTCATCAAGTTTTAGCATAAAAATAATCGAAAATAATAGAACAAAAATTTGAACATTCTGCTTAAAAAATTCAGTAAATTTTATGGAAATAACCTGGATCCGGATCCGGATCCACTTTTTCCAGTGCGGATCCAGGATCCGGATCCGCATCAAAATTAAATGGATCCTAAGCACTGCTCAATAAATGATTAAAAATCAGGTCAATCTCAAATTTGGAATCTGTTCCTTTAAAGTTTAATATTGGCGGATGTTCCTTTAGGTAAACAGTGTTGGCAACAATATTCTCCAACTCCATCAACTCCAGGGCGTGGCTGGAGGGGAGGAGGTGCTACAAGCACCAAACCTACAATGTTTTATGATAAGTGAACCAGGTTTCAGCGAGGGGAGGAAATGAGCCACATCCATCCCACATCTAAGCTATTTTTTACCAATTATATCCATGTCTTACATATAAGATCCATGTACAAAATTGATAGGATGGGGAGGGGGCGGGAGGAGGAAGGGGGGGATCCAAAATCGTTTATTAGGAAATTACCAAAAATGTGACGACTCTTCTTCCTTTCTAAGTTCTTAAATTCTGAATCAAACGATAAACGAATCGTTTATCCCATGAAATAGACCAAAACAATGTGTTTATGTCTTATAAAAATTACCGAGTCTGTCCTGGAGAACGATTTTTGGACCCCCCCCCCATCGATTTTGTAATGACCACTTTTTTCAGCCAAATTATTATAATTTATTTTTTATTATTTTAGGGTTAGGTTAGGTTATGACATTTTCTGGGCCGAGCGCTGCGACTAGGACAGGTTAGGGGGCCGAGCGCTGCGGCCAC